CACAACACTGTTTGACCCGAAATCTGCGTCAGTAGCATTAACAGCAGCGACATATGTATCTTTGACAGAATTCTCTATGATCGTAGCTTTGTACACAGACTGATTAAACATCGGTGCGTTATCATTGGCATCAAGAACTGTGATATCTACATTTACTGTACCAGATCTCTGAGGAGTCCCACCATCCACAGCTATTAGCTTTAAAGACAGATGCGGTCTTGCCTCCCTGTCTAGTGGCTTCTGAAGAACCATCTCAGCGTATTTCTTTCCATCAGAATTAGAGTGTTGTTTCAGAACAAAATAATCATTATCAGTCAAAAAGTATTCTCTGAGTCCGTTCGAACCCACATCGGGGTCCTCAGCACTAGTTATTGGAAAACGAGCGCCCGTATTCGCTGATTCACTAATTTCAAAGTCGATGCCATTTCTTTTGAACGTTGGTGAATGGTCATTTATATCTGTTATTTCAATCGTTACTTGATGCAGTTCCATAGGATTTTCCAAAATAACCTCGAAACTGAAACTACAAGGCGTCGTGTCACCGCAAAGCTGCTCCCGGTCGATTCTTTCTTTCACCACTAAATTCCCTTTGTCTGCCTTCAGCTCGATGTACTGGACGTTTTCTCCAGTCACGATACGGGCCCGACCAGAACGGAGCCTTTGCAGATCCAAACTAAGATCCCGTGCCACATTTCCAATAATAGAACCTTTCTTCAATTCTTCTGGGATTGAATATCTGATGTGCCCAGTGACTGAATAACAAATACAGAAAAGGAAAAAGAGTAGCAGCGAGTTCTGTCCTGAGCATGAACGCCATTTCATGCACTGAGTGCAGGGTCGCTGTCCGTAAAGCATTATGGAGGAGAAAAGGTGAAAAAACTCCTGATGTGATCCGAAATCAACTTTTACGGAAAAGAAACTCCAACCAGCAAATATCAACGCGTTGCCTCAAAATTTTGCATAATAACGCAGGATAAAGATGTCTGTATTCTAGCTTAACAGAGCACACAAATAAAGCTCTATCCGTTTCTTATGTGGGCACGGTGATGAGGGAGAGCGAGGTGTGGGAGGGTTTTCAGGAAAACTATAGATTGACCAATAGCGTCCCTTGCAGTCCAGACTTAGTAATACCGTTTGAATATAAAATAAGTTCAAGATATGAGATAATATACGTTGTTTTCTGAATCATAAGAAAGCAATATAACACATGACAACACAGTCACACGTAATAATGTGACATTCTAATAATTTCAGTAAAATATATTTTCTTCTAATAAGTTCATTATAGAATATGAAACTCCAACTTTCTCAAACTGAAGTTTAAAGATTAGTGGAAAGCTGAATAAAATAATACCAATACACTGAACTGACCAATGAATGGCAGCCCTTCCGAGTGATGTACATTTAAATAATGACTTCCAATTATTTTGTGTGAAAATGTATCGTCATTCTAAAAATTGCCCAACCACAGTAGCTTTTTTACAATAAAAAAAAAAAAAATTCTCACATGAAAATTAGAAAAGAAACATGGAAAAACATCAAGTATCTCGATGGACAATGATATGTTTTCTTCAAGTTTTAATTTGAAAAAAATAAGGATGGATCTTAATAAGTAATGCAAACTGAGACATTTTCAAGGTAATAAAGTGGCCAAGTGTATTATTGTGATTGCAACATGTAAGAACAAACAATGAGGGCAAATTGAAAGTTTGTGATTAAACTAACCTCCAGAGGAGAGTC